GAAGAGCGGGAAGGAAAAAAATGAGGCTATTAGTTATGAACAAGTTGGTCAGGGCCCATAAGACTTCCTGGGTTCTGCCACAGCCAGGACCAGTGCAGCTCCTGGGCTTTGCCACAGCCACTGCTAGGCTCAGCACTACACCTCTGTGGCTGCTGACAGGCCCCAAGCAGCTACTGGGTTCCACCACAGATGGGCTTAGCACAGCTCTAGGCCTCTATGGCTGCTGCTGAGTCCAGCGCAGCCCCCAGCTCAGCTGCGGTCCCCAGCAACCATACAGGAGGTAGGTGCATTCTCTTTTATTTTGGGGAAAGGAATTAAAACCCCCAATGTATTTTTTTTTTAAGATTTCAGATTTTCCTGGAAGCCTGGAGGGTTCTCCAAGTTCGCAGGAAAATCTATTTAGTATCAGCTTTAGTATTAGATTTAAATATTCGCAGATAGGGCCCATCCTTGACTATTATATAGATGGTGGTAGCGGGGAAAACCTATGGACTGGAAAGTAATCACATCTTTAAAAACCATGAAAACCAACAAAATACACATCTTTAAAACTAGACCAGAGCTAAAATACATACAGAAACATAAAAACAACAATTAAAACCTTGGGCAGGAAGGAAGGATCACTGAGGGAATGCCAAATGAAACAAAAAAGTCTTCACCCACTGGCAGAAGATGGCAACAAAAGGGGACAGTCAAGTCTCCCTGGGGAGAGAGTTCCAGAATTTTGGTGCCACATCTGAGAAGGCCCTCTCACAGGTTGCCACCCACCTAGTCTCAGAAAGCAGAGGAACACGAAGTAGGGCCTTGGGAGATGATCGCAGTGGTCAGGTAGGTATTTATTTATTGAGATTTATACCCCGCCCTCCCCACAGAGCGGGCTCAGGGCGGCTTACAAGGGGCAAAGCCCATATAAAACAGATTTAAAATAATAAATAAATAAATAAAGGTAGGTTCATTAGGCAATCCATATATGGCTTTAAAGGTCAACAGCAGCACCCTCAATTGTGCCCAGAAACAGACTGGGAGCCCCTGTAGATAAGGCCGAGACTGGAGTGATATGATCCCTATGATCTATTCCAGTCAATATCCTGGGTGCAGCATTCTGCACCAAGTGACATTTCTGAACACTTTTCAAGGGCAGCCCCACACACAGTATATTGCAATAATCTATATATCTAATAGCTGAGAGTCCCCTGTGTGTGCGGATACTTATTTCTGCAGATCTGGGGCACATGGAGGGTAAAGAGGTTTTTCTGCACACTTAGGGCACTCTCCAGGTGTGTAGAAAAATCTAAAATGTTTTAAAAAGTGTAGGGGGAATACTTAAATCCCCCCAAAAGTAAAACTGCGTTCTGTGTGCATGCGTGCTTACTGAGCCGTGGGAAAAGCAGCTTTCTCTGTTGCTGTCCACTCCACCGCTAGGACCGCCAGGAAAAGCCGTTGGAGCCACGAGGTAACCCATGATGGCAATACCCATCCCAGCTGCTGCTTGGCCTCCAGCAGCAAGACCCATCCATGTCGCCGCAGGAACCGTACCCAGGACTGCCAGGAAACAGGAGGACATTAGGGGGACTCTTCTCCTCCCCTCCCCCTGCGGCTGGAGTCCTGCGCCCCGTTAGTGGCCTTCGTGGGCTTCTATTCAAAGGAGCATGCTTCCCATGTGGCTTGCTTCCCTGACTGTGCCCAGGGTCATTTTGGAAACCCTGCATACATCTTACATTTCAATTTTTTTAATTTTAAAAATGTTTTTGATTTTTATGTCCAAGGGGGTTGGTGCTCATCTGTGGGGGGCATTGCCCCCAATTGTCCCCCATAGCTACAGGCCTGGGTGGGAGCCAGGTAAGTGCCCATGATGCAACTCATTTGCTTCTTTGCAGAATCAAGATGTTAATAAGCCGTTTGGAGATCAGAATTTGTTTACTGAGACATGTTCAAACAGGGCATGTTCCCCAATGTTATTTAACATCTATATGTGCCCCCTTGCTCAGTTAACCCAAGGGTTTCTGCTGTGTTGCCATCAGTACACTGATGACACCCAGCTATATTTGCTGATGGATGGCCAGCCTGACTCTACCCCAGAAAATTTGGCCAGGGTTCTGGAGGCTGTGGCTGGTTGGTTGCAAGAGAACCGGCTGAAACTAAATGTAGCGAAGATGGAGGTCCTGTACCTGAGTTGTGGGGGAAGGGTAGGATGGGGAATCCGATTCCCAACCCTGGGTAGGGCACTATTAATGCTGACCCCAAACAGTGAAGAGTTTAGAGGTGATCCTGGACACCTCCCTTTCCATGGAGGCCCAGGTCACCAATGTTGCCAGATCAGCCTTTTACCATCTTTGGCTGGTCAGGCAGCTGGTTCCTTATCTCCCCCCCCCCATGACCTTGCAACAGTGATCCATGCAATGGTCACTTTCAGGTTAGATTACTGCAACTCGCTCTACACGGGCCTACCCTTAGAGTCTGACCTGGAAGCTTCAGCTGGTTTAAAATGCAGTGGCGTGCCTGCTGACAGGGATGTCTGTGTGCATGCACATTCAGCCAGTGCGGCGCCAATTCAAGGTTCTGGTATTAACTTTTAAGGCCTTATGTGGCCAGAGACCAGCATACCTATGGGACCATCTCTCCCCATATGTGTCCCAAAGAGCCTTGTGCTCCCCTGAGCAGTGCCACTTAGCAGTCCTTGGCCCTAAGGACGCTCACCTTGCCTCAACCAGGGCTAGGGCCTTTTCAGCACTGGCCCCTGCCTGATGGAACATGCTCCCAGCTGAGATCAGGGATCTGTGGGACTTATTACAATTCTGCATGGCCTGCAAAATGGAGCTGTCCTGCCAAGCTTTTGGCTGAGGTGACAGACATCTAAGAACACTGGCGTTCCCTACTCAGTGCAATCAATCTGTTAATTTGCCTCATCTGCCTCAGGGTACTGCCTATACCAACCTGGCACTAGAACCTGGGGCTCTGTTTTCTCTGACAGAAGTGTGCCCTCCCTGGCATTGTTGCAGAAGACACTGTAGTTAGAATGGTTAAGCTGATCTATTTTAACTGATCTATTTTAGATTAATTGGTGGTGGTTATGAATTATCATTTATTGTTTCTCTGTATGTTGTGAGCCTCCATCAGCCTGCTTACGGGGTATAACGGGATACAAATAAAATAATAAAGATAATCCATCAAGGGAAGTAGTAGTTTTTAAAAAGCCCCCTTTTCTGCCACACACAGTTCGTGGTCCTGCAGCAGACAACTCTGTCAGTCTTGTCTTGAAACACCCCTCACTCCAAGCTGCCTCAGAGGCATTTAATTAGGTATCCTGTCCCACTTCTGGAATCTTAGCAATGATTCTTCCATTCCCGAGTCTTATGATCCCAAGTCCCACCGGTTATCCTTTAGGCAATATGAAGCTCTTAAGGATATCTTGTTCAGAAGACAGACTTAAGTCAAACCAGAGTAAGTCTCACCCCTGCACACCAGCTGTTGGTTCAAGTCTCCTATCCCAGGCATGAACCAACAGTGTCTTCTAGTCGTTACTCCGTGTGACAGTCTTCTTACAGCTCAAGATGGTTTGTGGTGACAAAAGGCAATGGCTGCACAGGCAGAGAGGGATGGGTATTTGCTAACCCAGCATCAACAGGGAAGAACTGAGGAGCAGGGAGACAGGAGGCAGTTATTCTTGACCTGTGCAGATTCTGCAGAAGGTCCTCATATAGATGGTGTATATTTATACATATGCACACCCTACCTTTTAAATGCAAAGACTCACTAATGGAATGGTTATTGTATGTGTGAGCCCCTGACCCACCTTTTGACCTTGAAGTTGACCTTGAAGAAGGTTTCATTAAAGCAGAACTCATTCTAGATCATCCCTCTAACCTAAGGACATAAGCAGAGCCTTGCTGGATCAGACTAAGGCTCAACATCTTGTCTCCCATAGCGTGATGCTTCTCACACTGCACGTTCCAGTTCTGACATTCAAAGGCACAAAGCCTCTCAATGTGCTTTCAGAGCGAGGAACAGGTGAAATAAATTAAGAGATTTCACCTGAAAAATAAACTTCTCACTCCAATACAAGGGTGTAAACATGGTGCATGCCCAAAAATCTGGAATTAAAAGAATGTGCTTCCAGCCAGAAGAAATGGCTTTGTGACTCCATGGTATATTTAATGCCGGTCTCCTCTCTTGTGATTAAACTCTGGAAATTACACCTCTTCCCTAACATAGTATGATACATTGTCCCTAGTGCTAGATTTGAGATTCTAGTATTCAGAGATCTTCATTCCTGCTCATTTCTTACAAAGGGATCTTTGACTTTTGAAAGCTCCTACCCTGAAAATCATGTTGGTCTCGAAGGTGGTGACAGACTCGAATCCAGCTGTTCTACTGCAGACCAACATGGCTACCCTCTGAAACTGTCCCTAGTGCTCATTCCAACCCTTTGGCTGGCCATTCACAAGGTCCTGGGATCTGTTGGTAGGCCCTCATTTTCTCAGCAGTAGTTGCAAACTCCTTGAAGCTGGAGCACACTTTCCTCACAGAGTGTTCAGGGCAAAAAGCCCATGAGCATATTCAGCAAAAGCTTCAACCACCAGCACCCTGAGGGGCAGAATCACCTCGTGCAAAATGCTGCAGCCAGGCTTCTGATGGGCCTCCCTATGCGGGAACACATCCAGTCTGTGCTGAAAGCACTGCACTGCTTGCCGATTGCATACCAAATTCACTTCAGGGTGCTGGTACTTACCCTTAAAGCCCTTTATGGTCAGGGGCCCACATATATGTATGTTTTATATATTTTAATGTGGTTTTAATTTTATTGAATTTTATATCGTTGGA